CAAACAAGGAATCTTAACATGTGTTCTATTTATTGCGTTTCCCACTAATGACTGTGAAGTTATTGCTTGAGAAATGCATACCATGTCAATGTCGCAGTGGGGAAAATGCAACTTGCATGTAATGTAGATACAAAGTATACTGAACCGCAAAAGAAACGTCACCCCAAGTAACATTGCTTGAAAAGTTGTCATTTTTAAAATCTGGGTATTTTTTGTCAAAGTTTCTCAAATCTAACATAACCATGTCCGGAAAAATGAAATTTGATGATTAAAGAAAACAAAGCAGATGACAATAAAACCGGTCGCCCAAACGCATCACGGCAACGGCCATGGTAACCCGATGCACGTGAGTTCCCTGAACATTTAAATACACATGCGTTCCCCCATTTCTTGCCCTAAAAAAATCCACCCAGATCGGATAACATTCATTCACTATTGAACTGCTACCACATGCCAAGATTGACAAGAAATCAGCGACACCAAGCCCTTGGACGATTGCAAGCTGGACAAACCGCCCGGCACGTAGCCAATACATTTCAGGTCCACGTAAGGACCATATACAGGCTCCAGCAACGGTACCAGACCACCAACACTACAGATGACCGACCACGTAGTGGGAGACCAAGGGTCACCACCCGACGTCAGGATCGTCAGACTGTGCGACAGCATCTTCAAGATCGCTTTGTTACTGCTGTGGAAACTGCTCGACAGACCATGGGGACACACTAGCGACACATCAGTGCGTCGACGATTGACGAGCAGACACCTCCACTGTCACAGGCCGCATCGAGGACCCATTCTGATACTACGTCATTGCCGGGAACGTCACCAGCAGTGGAGAAGAGTCCTCTTCTCAGACGAGAGTCGTTACTGTATCTCAACAGCAGATGGCAGAGAGTCTGGCGACGCCGTGGGGAATGTTATTCGGATGCTTGAGTTGTTGAGAGAGATTTGTGGGGTGGTCCGAGCATCATGGTGTGGGATGGAATGGGTCTTGCACAGAGGGTCGGCCCTGTGGTCTTCCAGAACATCGGTCCAGGGAGAGGCAATGGTGTCACAGCAGCTCGCTACATTGATCAAGTTTTGAGACCACACGCCAAACCTTATTTGGCAAGTCGCCGCAACCACGAGTTTCAGCTTGATAACGCCCGTGCCCACACTGCGAGAGCAACAAGAGACTTTCTCCAGCAGAATGGCATCAGAACCATGCAGTGGCTTGCCGTCAGTCCCGATTTAAATCCCATTGGGTACATGTGGGACGAGATTCAAAGACGGCTAACAACTGCAGCTGAACTACGTCAGGCGTTCCTCAGAGTGTGGGCGCAAGTGCCATTGGCCTTCATCAAACGCCTCATCCATTCCATGTATCGACGTTCACGGCAGTCATCAATGCACATGGCGGACACACGAGATACTGACTTGTGATGCCATTTTCTCAGAGACTAGTGTTGTGTTTCACTTTAAGAACATTTGACCCTTTAATTTCAACCTTGATGATCAGTTTTGCCAAGTTTCATCTTTTTAATATGTCTCAAAGAATATTTACAGTGTTTGGACAAATAAGGCATTCATATATCTATCCATAGTGACGTTTCTTTTGCATTTCAGTACATACACTCAGCTCAACTCAATCCCATCGGTCAACAATGGGAGGGATATTCATTGAATCCTGAGTCGCTAGTTTCACCAGTTCAAGTGACTGTCATATTACAGAACATAATCTAGCTGCAGTTGTGCCTCTTGTATATATGTCACTCGATAAAAAACTTGTAATGTCAGTTTTCTTTTAAATACACCTTTTCAAAATCGATGGTCTGGTGCATGAACTACATGTGGAGAGATATGTCTGTATGCGGTTATCAGTGTTATCATGCAGTACCGCTTCAGTACAGGAGCATGTTGGGATTACCTTAACGTAATACAAAATTGATCAAGTGACAGGGCTCTGTGACTTGGCTGTAGTCCAGATTGCATGAATAGTTGTGCGATAACTTACAGGTCGCCATGAAAGAGCTGGAAATAGTATTCATTCACGCAATCTCCTTGAGGCTTGTTTGCCTAAAATCCCATATATCTGTATATTGACACATGAAAGAAAATACTTTTGCCAGATTACCAGTGTACGACTAGAAGTTCACATTGGTGACCTGTTTCAAACTGATACATGGTCGATGTGTATTTTGAATAATACAATTACTGGTAAATTTTCTATTTCATCAAACATAAGTTTTGAAATTACTTCAAACTTGCTTGGTCTAACAACTGTCCTCAGTAGTCACCCTTTGATAGATTTGGAAATAAAAGATGTAAGGGTGACCCAAAGTAATACTCCCTTTGCATCATGTTGTCATAGCGACTGACTTATGACTACCATTGTCTGAAGTGCAGTTTACTCCAAGGGCAAATTACCCTGTAGCCATGTCTCCATAACTTAATTGTCATTACGTTTTAGGCGCTAATCCCCGTTGTTATTCCTCACCAACATTTCATTGTATATTGACTGACAGCCAACTGGGCTACTTTATCACTTCCCGTTAATTACTGTTATTTATAGTATGACATTTATTGCCTTAATTGTTCATCCCCCAGAAGTCTCATGCCCAGAGCAACGTCATTGTCTTTCCATTGTTGTTCATTACTATATATGTGCTACCATTACACTGTTACTAGGGTGTTAGTCAAGCTAGGTATTCCGAGTGCTCGTGTAGCCGCTCGTAGGAAACGCCCTGAGGTGAGCTGGAGCTCCGCTCACCTCATGTATGCCTGAGCTGGAAGGTCCGCTCATCGCTGTGTTTGTGTTGTCAGAGCAGGTATTCCGCTCATTGTGCAATTGTTTATTGTTTACATTTTGTGCATAAAGTGTTCCGGGACAGTGATATCGATTTTCTCCTTTATTCCCCCAAGAGCGAATTCCCCGTCAACATGCGCGTTGACAATGTCATGACATATCAAACCTAAACAGAGTCAGAAAAGAATTTGTCTTCTGTGAACATAAATGTAGACATATAAGATGTCTGCTATGCAAATGAACGTTATGTTTGTGTAAGTAAATTTCTTTGGCCGTTCCAGCAGTAAATGTGTCTTGATTGAATAGATATGGTCTTCTCATCTATATCCAGACTCCGTGTATACCAGGAAGTTACACGCATATCCCTTTTGTAGTGGAGCTCCCCTCGGTGCATTGACAGCTACCTATGTAACCTGATCAGCCACACCTAAACATGCCAGGCTGTTTATGCAACGTTGAGCAAGCTTTGATTACCTCTATCGGGACAACAAAACCGGGTTGCAATAGTTTTTTTCATCCTCCTAGTCGCTTTGTTTACAAATCCAATTAATTATTTACCCTTGTTTTTTTTCGAAATATCAAGACATGCTATGTTGATACAAAACCTTACATAGGGCCTTCTTGGCCTGACAACAGAAATTAATGTAAAATCAGTTTGAATGTATACTGGTCCGTTGTTCAGAGGTCATGCCAAAAGCGATTTTAACAGAGGGTAGGAGTGGCTGAGTGGGGGATGGGAGATCGAACCCGATGAATCCAAACAGCCTCATCCAAACTAGCATCTCCCACTACCCACAACCAACCTCCAAGATCTGCCACTGGACCGTGTCTTGATAGAAGGGCGGTATTTACATTTGCTTGCAACACGTTCTGCAGCGGACACTTTCCATGAGCACATTTTACAGGGGGCGCTTTAATAGCTGTTGCGAGCGAATGTTTAGCGTGTGTGAACAATATGAGTATCCTGGTTCTGTCCGGCATCCTTTCCGTGTGATAATAATGTTTAATACGTCGTCAATACAAATTATTGGGATACAGTAACAGTGGGTTGAATATGCAATCGTATACAATGACAATGTATATCTAAGCTGGTATGTCTTTCTCTAATCTACAAAACCCCTGGTCGCCATTCGCGTAACCGACAAGAATGCATTGCCGGAATAACCCGAGTAGTCACGAATGTCCACACTACGCCGACTGCACACCATTCCGTGCCTCCTCTCAGTTGGCGAAATGAGACGTCTAAGAGTGCTCTCCCTTGAAATGGTAAGCTAAAGCTATATATAGACAGGAACTGAAAGCTTCCGTTTTATTCATACGTCCCTGAACTGGCACACAATTACTATTCGTGATATTTCACAGAGATCAATTCCTGTTTTAAATTACTTTTGTACAATAAAAGTAGCATAAGAGCATACCCGTTATTTTCAACACAGTTAAAGCTCAACTAAGTATTAGTGACATCTGTATATATACTATTTAATAGGAGAAACTGAAGTCCAATGTCTTTTCACGATGGTGTAACTATGTGCACTCGCCATATGTACATAATCTGAACCCTATGTTACATAAAGTATTGCTACTTTGTCAATACGTAAAATGATAAAAGTCAAAGTTGCTCCGTTTTCAGCTCAAGGGTCAGCTACAATTAATGCCTATTGTTAACCTCAAAGGTCTACTGGGTACATGTCAATTTGAAGTCCTGCTACATTTTATTCAATTTATTCAACGTCAAATTGGTTGTCTACTTTAAAGATTAACACTAATGTTTTGAAAACTTATAAGAGAATAACATTATGCTATATATAATACCTAGACCTATAGACTGAAAAGAGACCCCTGACCGTGGAGAACAGGATGCGGTTGGCATGTTCATTTCCAATTCCTATTCCTCTGTGAATACCTGCTGGGCACCTTGAGAGACAACATTTAGAAGCTGAAACTTCGTGGAGACCGACCCATTGACTTAAACTTATTCAGGTCTTCGTGTCAAATGTTTTCCATAAAAGTATTCATACATTGAGTCAAACGAAGTTCCCTTTTCCCATATTGACATATGTACATGTATTTAGTTGCTTTTTTATGTCACGGTCAGCAATATTCCAGCTATGCCATTGTGTGTTCCAAACACGTCTTGGTCAGGCAAACTTGTGGTTGATAGCATAATTAACGTCCTAATATTTCACAGAAACTATTAAACGAAAACATGTAGTATTAATAACCAAACAAGCATTTATTCGTCATATTTTTACATGGAAAACTGATAGTGATATATGTTTGTATGTTTAGGAGTTGACAAAATTTATACTATATGTTATACATTTGAAAATAATAATGAAAGCAGTTCACACTTTAAAAGCAATGGATAAAAGTCCATGAGTACAAAATAGTAATTAAATGTACGTTAAAATATATTCAAAATTGTGTATAGTTTATGAACAACCGAATAGCAATATTATTCTTAGACTTGCACATGATATTTACCATGTCCGCACGTACATTTCAAATACTTGTATTCAAATAATGCACCGATAAGGCACACGATGACAACTGTTCTGTTGCTTCGTGACAATATATATTGAACACATCTGTCATTTTCCTCCATTGCCATGTGACATACATGCACAGTAGCCATACAATCCTGTGAGTTAGGAAAGCTGAACGATTAATAAGATAATGGGTTGGGTGTAGTTCGGTGATTCATATTTGTTTCCAATTTTTAAATAAGACACTACTGATTATATTGTCTCGCCAGGACCGAGAGTGGATGAGGAGTTCTTCATGCCTGCAGTTCAATGGCGTAAGCATCAGCATCATCATAGTGAGGGCTGCCCTCTACTGGATGTATGTAGGATGTTGGCCCGGAACAGGACAAAAGTATTAGTCCTCAACATATATTTAATAGACAGACTATGACATTATACTATTGTGAAAGATCCAAACAACTTGTACCCATATCGGGAATCGAACCCGGGTCTTCGGCGTGACGAGCGAACGCTTTAACCACTTAGCTACCCGACCGCCCCTGACACATATTAGTTGTGACATGTTAACGTATGTTTATCTTACCTTGAACTTGCAGACACATATGCTTCATTTGGAACACCGGGTGGCTGCAAAGGCCAGAAAGTAATACATTCCATTTAGACACTTACAGAATATACTTTATAAATCAAAGTCAAAATGTTGTGCTTCACCAGAGGGATCAGATAGGAAAGGAGAATAACTCTTTAATGTCATAGACCTTAAGTTTCGGCAGGTGTCAAACTTTTAAGTGAATGATTGAGTGAGTGAGCGAGTATGGTTTTACGCCGCTTTTAGCAATATTCCAGCAATATCACGGCGGGGGACACCAGAAATGGGCTTCATACATTGTACCATGTCGGGAATCGAACACGGGTTTTCTGCGTGACGAGCGAACGCTTTAACCACTAGGCTACCCGACCGCCCCTTTTAAGTGAATGAATATTGTTGAGTTGGAAAATACTAAATTGTATTCACGTCTATACAATTAGATATAGCACAGGCTGACACACTTATCATACACATGGCGTCAAGAATGAAAGGCTATAGTCTTACCGCATCTCTGTCCCTGAGTCTGTAATAAGATCTTTCTTCTTCAGTCCTATTTGCAGCAAGTAGGTCATATTCGGTTGGTACTGTCTGCATTTCCTGAGCTGTTTTAAGGTCATCCGTATTTTGTTTTTCATGTGCTAACGTCCTCCACCTGAACCTTAGTCGTGGTTTGCTAAATACATTAATATAAAACGTCCACGCCAGTGAATAACAAGTATCGATTATCCGGCGAAAAAGATACCATTGGGCTTATAATGCAAAAGAGCGATAGAATGCAAAACTATCTGGATTAGACTTAATACACATAGAGAATGCATAAATTAATTGAATTAATCCTCGATGGCAACTGGAAGACTGTGGCTATCTAATCTCTAACGAGATCGGGTGGTGAAGCTCGCTGACTTGGTTGATTCATGTCATCGTATCCCAATTGCGCGGATCGATGCTCTTGATGTCAATCTCTGGATTGACTCGATTATTTTTGTAATGTAGCTGGAATATTGCGGCGTTAAACAACAAACAAACACTTACTTGTATACAGCAAATACTGCAATAAGGCTGATCACCGCAAGTAGGGCTGCCATAGCTATGAATAGCCCAAGGAATAATACTCTCTGTTGTGCGCTCTTATGCAGCTCTGAATATGCGTTTTCAGCTATACATTCAGTAGCGGTAAAGTCCCTTAAGGATATAATAACGGTACATGATCTGAAACAAATATCACTAATTATTCAACACAAAAAATATATAAATTGTCAAAAGAAGAGAATAACCAGTCTAGAGTATCCGCCGAAACAGATTCCATTTGGCGTAAAGGGCAAAATAGCTGTGAAAACTATGGACCACTGAAAATCAGTGATGACACCAGGTGTTCGCGAAAAACGTAAGCATCATCCACCAAAAATACGGTCGTCCCGCCGTTGAACTGTGGTGCATTGTCGTTGACGTCCATGATTGTGATGTTGAGTGTAGTGGTGCCTGTGTTAGGATTAGATGGATTGTCTGTTCCAGTTAATGTCAGGACTACGTATGGAGTTACTTCCCTATCAATCGGGGTTTCACTGGTATTCATGGTGAATTTGTTGTGGTTTGGTTTCTCAACAGCAAAATAGGTCTACCCAGGTCCCGTCAAAGCGAAGTTTACAGAACCATTCTCTCCAACGTCTTCGTCGGTAAAAGCTATGTCCACCTGCTCAATAGAATATGATCCTAAGTACATATTTGACGAAGGAACTTAGGGCCGTTACATTCTGCATGGCCTAGCATTACACCACTGCTACAAGCTAATTTGCAATCCGGCCGAATGAATGCCTTCCAGTGCTATTTTGATATTTGTATGTATATATTTACAAACAACTCTCTCTTTCTCTCGGTTAATTCAAGATCTCGATTATCACACTCACCAAATCATCAACCAGAGTTCCTGGAATGGAGTTTTCTTTTACTCTGCCTGTGTAAGAACGTCTGGAAAATTCTAGGGCATTGTCGTTCACGTCTGTTATATTCGTAATGAGTTGACCAATCGTCTGTGGGACAGAAAGTTAAATGCTATTGTGTTCATTGAAGTGTGAATCGTAATTGTGACGGAGCAATTTAATTGGCTTCGTCTACATTCCTTTGTCTGAAATCAGTTCATGAATCGAAAACTTCCACAAAACATGCCTCAAATATTGGTCCATGACTCTTAATAATCATATGTATGGATAAAAAGACATTTTATCTAACACAAACACCTATACGGATATAATAAGTATAAATTATGATATATAGAAGGAATTCGCAGGGACCAGAAGGTGAGTTCGGGACAACCTGGATCTAAGAATAAATGATGATACATATATCGAAGGAATTCACAGGGACCGGAAGGTGAGTTCGAGACAACCTGGATCAGAGTATAAATGATGATATATATATATAGAAGGAATTCGCAGGGACCAGAAGGTGAGTTCGAGACAACCTGGATCTGAGTATAAATGATGATATATATATATATAGAAGGAATTCGCATGGACCGGAAGGTGAGGTCGAGACAACCTGGATACGTCACATCAAAGTTCGACTGCACTGATATATTGCAAGCATAAAGTCTTAGATGTATATATCCTAACACACATACATAAAGGTTCCTCAAGTTGCTACTTACCAAAGATGAGCATTGGTCGTCACTACCCATGTATCCTGAATGGTGAATTCAGTGTGTGCCTGGTCGTCGTTCTCTCGTTCTAGACCAATAGCTGGTGAGACGATCCCTTTGACAGAGAGAATGGTATTCGTAGTATATGTTTTACTTGCACATCGACTCTTTACTCAAGCCATCAGATGACAAAGTGGATATTCGCGAATGTCTTAGGGCTGACACGACACGTGTTAATAACTGTCAAAGCGCTTCTAAAATTACAACACATACTTTACATCTATAGCCTAGTATTATATCTAATATATACCACTTTAGTGTCTCATATTGCGGTAGCAAACACGGTGCTCAAAGTGAAGCCCTTTTCCCTCTACATTCCCTCTATGAGAAATGTTTGGCTTGTGCTGGGTCCGACTTAGTCCGGGCTGTCAAAATCTACTTTAAACACACAGATGTATCTTCAAACGTGTTTACATCTATTGATTAGTGTTATATCTACCATATACCACTTTATAATGACACAGTGTATCGCATTTAAAGAAAACTGCTCCGTTAAAGTCAAGCACTTTTACTGTATTTTCTTAAGAAAATCTATGTCAGAAGTGTTCGGTCCGACTAGGCCCGGGCTGTCAAAATCAACTTAAACCTCAGATGTATCATCAAATGGGTTCACCTCTATAGACTTGTATTATATCTACCTATATACCACTTTTTAGTGTCTCAGATCGCTGTGCTTAAAGACAACGAGGGGATCAAAATAAAGCCCTTTTCCCTCTACATTCTCAACATAGTCTCTATCAGAAGTGTTTGGCTTGTGTTGGGTCCGACTTGGCCCGGGCTGTCAAAATCAACTTGGCTAATTACTCCACTATCGGCTGTCATAATCAACCTTAAACACACAGATGTATCTTCAAATGTGTTTACATCTATCGATTAGTGTTATATCTTACTATATACAACTTTATAATGTCACAGATCGTAGTATTAAATGAAAACAAGGGGCTCAAAGTGAAGCCCTTTTCCCTCCACATTCTCAACATAGTCTTTATCAGAAGTGTTTGGCTTGTGTTGGGTTCGACTTTCTGTATGCTTACACATCATCACGTCATACTGTATTTAATTATGTTTCTTATTCTAATACTGCTAATGTTTGTCAGTGGCCAGTGATAGGATGTTTTATGGAATAGTATTTTTCATACCAATATGGCGATATGTTATAACTTTATTTCGTATTTGTGAGGGACACGACACTATCATGGCCGGTCATCACGTCTGGTTGTGCATTTTGGACGACCACTTCGGGGTCTGTCTTGAACCCTTCCAGTGGCAATGTAACGTGCCCACAACCGGCTAACTACTGACTGTGAGACATGCAGTTGTGCTGCTGTGTAGGCCTGCGTTCTTCCGGCCTGGATCATCCCAATTGCTCTCAATCTTTCGTCTTCTCGTAACCTTCGCATTGTGGAAAGTGGTGAAGTGATGGATGAACTTGGTCCAAGACCCATGTTAACACCCATTTTTGCACGTGAGGCACGTGGATTTTGTCATTTGCACGTGTGACACAAGATGTGATTTCTCATCCACATCCCCTGGTACGTTTGGGTGCAATTTTCCTGGATGCAAGGGCATCTGGTGGTCATTGTGAGGCATGCTCAGACTGACCTATGCTTTTCCTCAATCGTACCTAAATTATTTGTAGGCCTCTATATTACTGTCTTTGTGCCACTGATTTTAATTTCAATATCCCCTACTTTTTGTGAGCAGTATGTGAAATATGTGTATATGATATTACCAAGATATTCGTAATTTTCTTTCAGGATTCCCCGGTGATGTACGGTGGAGGTGATGTGACAGTAAATATGACGAAGGTGACAGAACACAGTGCCCATGAAGCCCTTGGTATTTTGGATGAGACAACTTTCTTCACCAACATTCTACAATTTGAACTCAATCCCAAACACTACTAGACACTAGTTTATGTATATATCCACCTTAGTGTAATGTCAGTAGCGCAAGCTATGTCAAAACCCTACAATTGTCCTCAATGTTATCAATTCATTTTCCAATAATTTCTTTTCAGAACACCCTGACCACACAAGGGTAACTTTCATTCCACCATGTAGGCTAAAGGGAATGGAAGTTAACCTGTTCTCTACCGGTGGTGACCCCAACAAAAAGTGTAAGTGTATTCCGATCATTATTCAAATTTACAATTGTTTCAAGAAAAACATGGAATACTAATACAAGTACGTATGCGTTTTCAGATGACCTCAGATCTGATCAATATATCTGGAAGAAACAAGGCTCAAAAATAGTAAAAGCAGACAAGCAAATGCTTAAAAAATATTATTTTACCATAGATTCCGAAAAAAGTCCGACCACAATTCAGCAAACAAGAATTTCGCCACCTAGATATACCCGACTTAGTTTTAGTTGATTATAAAGGAGACCATTTAGCAGACAAACCCAAGCCCCATGGTAACAGATTACATGGAGACCACGAACACCGCAGAACTGCTTCTTCTGTTCTCACCAAAGCAAATGACACCAGCAAAGGCCCATCAGCAACTTATCGCGAATTAATAACTGACCCATCCATTTCCGGCACTTTCCAAGGCGTTTTGAACCCACGAAATCAGAAACAAGTTAGGAACCAAGCACAGCAACAAACACAACAGCGACTTAATCAAGATACTATATACAGTGTACAAGAACTTGCCTATCACCTGGAACCCTTTTTCCTTGGCATCACCTATCCAGATCTCCGAATAGTATTGGCATTAGATAACATAATAAATTACCTTAAAATCATGACTGACAAGAAATCGGCTACACCTAATATTCTTGGATATGACACCACCTTTAATTTAGGAGATTTCTATGTTACAATCCTTTACCACCACTTTAATTTCAAAAAAGACCCAGCTATTCCTTTGGCATTTCTTATTCAGGAACGTAAATTTACGAAGGTTCTTCAATATTTCTTAGATACACTCAGAGATCCCATCCCTGATTCCAGCCGTGTACTATTTGTAGCCGACAGAGAGAAAGCCATCGGTAGAGCTATCCAGAAAGAGCTCCCAAAGGCTAGGATAGTATACTGCTGGAATCACATAAAACAGGACCTTCGCTACTGGCTGCGGAAGCAAAAGGACAGTAGTGACCAGATAGCCGTCTATACCAATCATTTGGAGAGCCTTCTACGGGCGAAAGACCAGGATGATTTCAAGTATAAACAACTTTCATCTGTCTGGACTCAAATCGTTAAACAATACTTTGATCAAAATATGACAGAGGATATTTTCAACAGCACTGCTCAATTCGTCCTGACTTCGCTAGGCATAACTTCAAGTAACGTTATCACAAACAACAGTTCCGAATCCCTTAACTCCCTCCTAAAAAAATATTTGATTTTAAAGAACACAGACACGATCAAGTACTGTTAGCCCTCTTCCATTTCTACCTCGAAATCCAACGTGGTCAGGCGAGTGTAGGCAACCTCCAACTAAAGTCTAACCTGTAAGCTTTCGCACGGGAACTTTCAGATATAATTGTACCACAAGCTGCTATGCACCCCGACAAGATCATAGAAGCAATCAAAACCTCCGGTGGCATTAATAGACCTAACCAGGAAAAGCACCATGGGTGAGGACAGGTGCCTCACAACTCGACAGCTACCACTGAGGGTGCAGCCAAGCAACAGTCCACCCAGGCACACGGACTATCACAAATACACTTCGCCCGCACCTTGTACCAGTCTGGTGGTGTAACTCATGTACCAGACAGAGGATGTTTTGAGGTAGTTGGGAGCAAAGGTAATCCATATGCTGTTCGGCTGTATCCAAAAAGAGTCCTGAGATCTCTGTCGAACACCATCCCCACAGTCGAGCCCATCATTGCCCATGAGCAAGGAACAGCGTTGCGAGGCACCACAGTCGCCTGGCCCGCATAAAACAAGCACAATCGCCGGACAGTGACTGTCTGATTTAAATCTTCGTTCCGGTGACAAAGACGACCTTCTATCGGGTGCTTGGCTAAGCTCTCGTTACATGGAAGCTGTTAATATTCTCTTAAAGAAACAGTTTCCCAACGTCTTCGGTTTGCAATTAATAGAGCTTGTCCCAACCCGTAATAAACAGAAGCTGTGGATTATCCAATCCCAAAGTCCCTGAAATTCCGTCAGTTCAAATTCACCATAATGCTAGTTCCCATTGGGTTGTATCATTGCGTAGAGACGACAATTTAGATGCCTCCATTTACCTCCTTGACAGTCTTCAGTGCATCCCAATTGCAACCGAGAGCTTAGAAATCCAATTGGCT